GCAAGAAGGGTTACTCCTACCTCCTTACAGTATGCGATTACTTCAGCAAGTTCGTTGCTCTGTGTCCATTACGGAGCGCTACTTCAAGCGCCCTGTGTCGTTTCGTGGAAGAGCAAATATTTCTGGTGTATGGAGTGCCTCAGTTCCTCATTTGCGACAATGGCAAACAAATGAGAAGCAAGGAATTTAAAGCCTTGTGTTCCAGATATCATGTGAAAATCTCGTATACCGCATATTACCACGCGCAGGCGGACCCTGTTGAGCGGTACAACAAGATTGTGAAAACCATGGTTTCCATCTATTTGGGAGAGAATCACAAAGAATGGGACAAAAATCTTGCTGCAATTGGATGCGCTATAAGAACTTCTCGAAGTGAAACCACAGGTTATACCCCGTACTTTGTCAATTTTGGACGAGAGTATGTCGGAGATGGTACCGAGTATCGTTATATGTTTAACAATGGTAATGATGATCGAGTTGAAGTACAGACCGAGATGAAAGCACGCGTAATAGGTTATAGAAAACTTTTTGAGGATGTCAAAGCCCGTATAGCTAGAATGGCGGACCGATCCCGTAAAATATACAATTTGCGTAGGAGACCAGTTCACTATCAGGTCGGAGATCGGGTTTGGAGGAAAAATAAAATTCTCTCCGACGCGTCGAAAAACCTCAATGCTAAACTTTGTCCAAAATTTATAGGCCCCTTCACGGTTAAGCGTAGAATAGGAGGTTGGACGTATGAGTTGACGAATAGTCAGGGTAGGTCGTCGGGTGTTTGGCATGTTAAAGATTTAAAACCTACTTATTTTGCTTCTGATGACGATTGATTTAGTTTTGGTGAACAACTGGTTTGGATTTACAATCTATTCTTCAGACAGTTGTTTTCGTGGGTTAGAGGTGGGTTACTTACTTATTAATAAGCACTGAAGTTTATGAATTTTCTGTCCCTAAACTTTTCAGTTGCTGTTTGAAGGCCGTACATCGATGCCTGACCAGTCTGTTATTCTTTTGACAGATTTGGTAAGCTTTTTTTACATATTAAATCATATTGAGAGTGTTGGAGAGTTATCACCAACAAGGTAGGGCTCCTGCGAGCTCTCACCTTTTCTTTCCCGATTAGTGTCTTTGGTCTTGTTATGCCAGGTTGATCTTGCGCGGCCGCGTGCGTCGGTTTCGCTTGGTGGTGGAGGTGTAATCCTGTGGGCTGTTGTGAGGGCTAATACACGAGACTTGTTTACCGCTGTAGTAACCTGTGCAATTTTAGCCTACTAGGTCGACTTAACATCACGGTATATAGATTACCGACGGCCTAGTGTTACCACTCTAGTCTGGAGGTTTTCCCTTCTGCTTCCGGTGGATTCGTCGTTGCGCTGTTGTTGGGGATCACTTGGGTATAGCTAACCTCTTTTAAAAATTTTTTTTCGGCTTCTTATACGGCTCTCTGGCCCAATGGGTGTCGTGCGGTTTCACTGCTGCGTCTCGCAGGTATGTGTTGGTGAGTGCGATGGATGTCTTTGGCGTGGAGCTTAGTATTGGGGGGCTCGAGATTGGCCCGAATGGTAGCTTCGGCGAGCCAATCAATTTATGGGAGGTCTCGGCTACTGGTATTCAAGTGGCCCGCCTTAGATGTGGTAGTGTCTGATGTGCGACAGTAGTGGGTTAGGGATTAACCTGTCAAAATTATTCAATTGGTATTAGTGGATGCGCAGGCTCCACTAGGTAGTGTCGAGCGCAACAAGAGTGCGCGCGATACTGCTGTTTCACTAGTTGTAAGTTCTTGTTTTTTTTCCTTCGTGCTTTACCGAGTTTTCGGGTGATATTGCTGCTCTTTTACTAATATTTAAGTTTTTTTTTTTCGGGCGTTTCGGCAAGTTGTACGCTATTTTGCTGTTCTGGTGGAAGTCCATGTGTCGATCGGTGTTCACCTCTGACGGAGGAACGGGGGAGTGTGACGGTTTCATATTTCAATGGTAAAATTTAGCATTTTTAAAGTGAGAGTGCTGGCACATTTGCGAAGTAACGGGTTTATTTTATTAGTACCTTGTAGAATTAATTGTACTGTCCATTTCCTTCACCTTTTGCTGTTTGGCGAGTGCTTCTTAACAATTAAAATTCTTGTTTATTAGGTTCATATCGATTTTGCAATTTGAACACACGTTCTTTTGTAGACTCGGTTCCTTTAGTTTCGGACTTGTACTCCCCGGCCGATTGTGTTGCCGAACCATAAATATTTTATGCTGCAACGGCTGTGTGCGTGGCCCCTTGTTCGCTTGGTTTTCTCTTAAGTGACACCGGTTTACTGAGAGATACTAATGCAAAAAACAGAGTATTAGTTGCGCATTAGAAGGAGTCATAACCATTACCATCTGTCACTCTATGAGACTAGGGACCGCATTTGCTTTTCATTGCTTCGGTATTCCTTGGCGAGCCTAGTAAACATTGTTTTGTTTCTTAACCTATTCTTCCTCGATTTTCTGTGACTGGCCGTCCGGTCGCCACCATAGATAGCGTTCGGGTAATTCAATCTCGTTGACGCAACCTCGATTCTTTGGCACGGGCCATACGGCCATCACCACAGATATAGTTCAGTTGTTCTTTCTACTGGCGGCGTACCGTCGACTAGGTTGGCAAGAGTGGCGTTTTCCCTCTAATTTTTTGTGCCCGTTTAGCCTTTTAATAAAACTGGTTGTCTGAATCGTCCGGCATTTTGTACGCTGGCTTTTGAAGCTTGGGGTTGTGGCAGATTTTCTTTTGTGTGACCGATTTCTTTTTGAGCCGGTAGTGCTACCCCAATAAGAGGGGGATATGTGAATTGGTCACTAATTTATGATTTCCCATACTTTTGGATCTATTTGGAGTTTGGAATGGGAATCTTCCTCAACGAGGGATTTTGAAAAGAATTGTCATTGCCCCATATTTCCAGAAAACCCTCGAATCGAGGTAAGTTACCTTTTGGAACCATTTCGCCACCTAATCAGTGTTCCTCAATTTATGCCGATTTTATTTTAGGGTTTTTTTTTTCTAATTAGTATTGTACGTATTGTTGCTCCGTTTCCCGCAAACCTTCCACGTGGTTTCTTCTTTCACCGGAATACCAGACCAGACTTGGTGTCTTGCAGTGTATGCTGTCTCTTGGGTACATGTTTAGTTGTGGAGTTTCCCCTATCGAGCAGCCGGCTTTCCGGACGGACTTTGCTGGGTTAACTGAGACTGCCCACCTGCGGCTGTCTCATTGAGCCACCATTCCATCTTGGCTTGGTTCCCGGGATAGTGACAGACAGCTGTGTAACGTTCGGGACATCTTGAGGTTTGGGTAGCTTAAGTGGCCTGTTCTCTTCAAGAACGGTTTGCGGAACTTATAGCCTTAAATTATAGTGTCTTACATTCTTTTGCACCGCCAAAACTTGAAGGTGAGATTTGACACTCACACCTACCACCAGGTTGAAGGAAATAAATTATTGTTCGTGATTCACTTGTTTATTTCCTTTACGGGTTGGAACCTCGGGTTGATAAGTCTACCTTTTTCGAATCACGTGGCGCCTACCTACCACCTTCCGGGACTGACCGAGGTGCCCTTCACCGCCTTCCAACCTGGCTTTGGTTTAGTATATATATTTTTTTTTCTCTTTTCTTCTTTATTAATTTTTCTCGGTTGTTAATGAGCTAGCCTAGGCATTGTCTTACCTCACTATTAAATTACGAATTTAATTAATTAATGCGTTTCTTTTTCACGACCTTGAGATGGAGAGGTAAGACATTTTTAAAACACTGATCTGCATAGCTGTAATTAATATCAGGAGCAATCTTCTTTTTCAGGTTGAAGTCATCTCAGAATAATGATTTCAATATTGAATTTTTTTATACCGCACCAAATGAAATCCAGTATTACATGCCAAGTTGAAAATGAGAGTGAAGTAATTTTTATTAGTTTTGGTTAGCTTAGCAATTTTTGTACGAGCTGATTAAGCAAACAACACGTGCATAATAATTTTGAGTTTATTTGTATTCGAAATTCTATTCATCTATAGAATTATTTACTTATTTATTTGATGTCAATTATTTGCTATAACATTTGTTTTTTTCTAAAGCCTACATGAATTATCTATAAAGTTCTTAATTTCTTTCTTCCTTCCATTAAGCCAGCTACACACTGGCAAAACAAGTTTTTTCCACTTACTTGTGGTTGGAGCGGTGTTCGGGTTGCATCGATCAAAATGAAATTGGCCTATTGCTTAGATACCAAATGAATCGAAAAGTCTGTGCGTTTGTTGTTGCATCCACAAGCATGACTAGCTGTTTTCTTCTATTTAGTGCCGTAATTTATCAAATCAAAAAGGTGACATTTCAGGTATGCTTGGACATATTTCCTCAAAATATCATGAATATTCACAAATCTAAAAGCATTTGAGAAATGCCAAAAAGTAGTAATTGAAGATGGCAATGGAATGTATATTTGCAAATCTTTTTCGTTCCGGATACCGCTTGTTGTACTGCAAGATTTAATTGTCAAAAGCTCGCGTAAACTGACAACTTCGGAAAAGTTTGTTACTACACTATCGAAGCGTATTTTATTAAATGCTTTTTAATTCAGACTGTATATTTCACCATAGTATTACTCCTCGAATTATAAATCATTTTTTGCCTATTAGTTTTAGCGAACAAGTTTATAATTTTAGTAGTTAAATATGTGGGAGCATTGCCTGATCGTACTGATTCCCAGCAAGAAGATTACAGTCACAACTCTTCAGTATCTGTTTTTCTTTGCCTTAATGGTTGCCAATGTCATGGATTTGCTCACTGAAATATACTAAATTAGTAGCTTAAACATATGGTTTGATTAGTATTACATTTTTGAAATTTTACTTGAAATAAATGTAAATATAAATGTAAAAATATTAAACTATTAAAAAAGGCAAACGAAATTGTACGTTTTTATTACAAAGCATCGCTGTGTAATGGTAGCTTACCTTAAATAAGAACTTATTTAAAATTAATTTCAGGATGACCCCCGGGCTGCAGCAGACGCAACTTACACAGAATCTACCTTCCGGAGCCCCTGGTGGAACCTTGCCATCTAATATGCCACCTCAACAGTCCGCCCCTTTGGTAATGCCGGTCTTTCCACTCAGGCCTGCACCAGCTGCGTCCTCTTCTCAGTATTCTCCATACTCCCCGTCCAGGTTTCATATAGATAAGAGATGTCAGCACAGGTGCTCGTGGAAGTGCTTAAGTATCGGTCTTATTTTTCTAGTGGTGGTCTTGACCGGGATGCTGACATATTTTGCGGGTAAGTCAATATTATCTTCGGTTTGCAACCTACTTAGTTTGGGTTACCTTAATCCAAAACTAATCTAATTACCATTGCACTGAATGTTAAACTGGAATTAATTATTTAAAAATATAATCTCATAAGAAATATTATGTAAAGTACAGTCACGATAATAGTAGGTCTTTTAAATTCGCCACGTTGGGGAACGGTTTTTCCATTGGCTTTCCATTTTAATAAAAACGGACAATGGCCTAATATGTTGCCTAATTCGATCCACAGGAGCACTTATATTTTTATCTCCAGCACTAGACTGTCGTGCGAACGATATTTGCTTCTTTTAGATTTTCAAATGTTAATTACGTCTTTGCGTTTAGGGTTTTAGATGGTTTCTTTAATTCCAGACTAATATTATGGTGCAATATTAAGGTGTCTTATGGTTAACCTTGTAGTACTAAAGCCATTCGTGTATTCCGAAATTTTAAGTTCGGTTTCGTTTCAGCCGTTAGCTCCATGAAACCAAACATGGACTCGCCGAATTGTATATTGGTGCAGGATGTCAAGGACGTTACCCACGATCAAATAACTATGGGTTCGGAATCAACGCAAACTCCTACGGAGGGTAAGTTTGACGTTAAGTGAAATTTTTTATACGAATTTATTGCATGTTATTGGATTCTAAAATCATTTTAAGTTACCATTGTGAACAGAGAGATTAAAAGCTCTTATGAAAATAACTCCAACTCAATAACTGCAAAATCGGCGGAATGTAAATTAATACAAGGAGTAAATCAGATCGCGTTTTAGGGTGTAAGTAAAGTCAGTGGAAAAATGCTGCGGTTAGAATTCTCGATGACGTGAAAGTTTTCGGCAGTTCAAGGTCACCTATTCAGTTTTTTCATACAATGTTATTTACTGAGTATTGTTATGAAATCTATATGTGTCTCAGCAGAACAATGTAAATAATATTTTTTTGATAGATTCGATTTTAACCTATTTTTGTACAATGGACTGACTCTTATCCACCATGTTTGAACTTAAAGGGAAAACTACTGCTATATAATTTACTGGTTGATCAAGTTATTTGTGACCTAAAATTTAAAACAATCGTTGGAGTAACTATTTGCCCTTTAATTGTTAAGCAACGTATTCTAGAAAAACAATAGCAGATTCTTTGGGGCCTAATAAGTACCGCTAAAAGGTGGATACCTAGAGGATATCGAAGAGGATATCTCAGACCAGTCCGACAACAGCGAAAATCTCTACCAAAGCTTTTCTGAAACGGGTATACACGGGATAGCGGAGGAGCTACTCTACCACCATGACGTTGCAAGATAGCAAAACTGAAGAAACTGGAAAACGCAGCACCTACCCAGAGACAAAAAGTCAACATTTGTCTAAACACATAGTACCAACGTCCAGAACCACAAAAAGTCACAGTCAAGGCTGCTTTCGATACTGTGGGACGACAAGGCATTATCTTTAAGGTCCTGTGTGTGATCATGCATATCATTTGCTTGCCTGCTAAGCAATGTGGTAAACGACAGAACGTTTCAAGTCATCTTAGTTCTACCAGGATCGATGCTACACTACTCCCTTGCAGCCTATAAATCGCAGATATATCCGAGACAACTTCGCTGATGACTGGGCACTAGTAACAAGAGGCAGCTCGTTTCCATTTCAACAATAAACTCCTCAATAGACAACTTAAAATACAATTTGAGAACACGTTGCTCTTACACAACAAAACACCAAAATATCTAGGCGCGGCGATCAATAGAACTCTCTGATTTAAAGAACGCATAACGAAAGCAGCAGAGAAATAAAAAATCAAAAAGCAATATCATACAAGTGCTTCGTGGAAGTACATGTTTAATAGTTCTGAGTCTCGCCTTTTCTGCTGCAAAATATTGTGCGCCAGTGTAGCTTAACAGTCCTCATGTCAAACGAATTAATGAACAACTCAATAAAATAATTAGGATCATCACAGAAGTTATCAAATCCTCCCCAAGGGTGAGGCTTCCTATATTGAGTCATATATCTCGTCTAAACTAACGCCACAAAAAAAACTGCTATGAGAGTGTGTAGGAAGATTCTTAGCAACCAATACATGAGGACACCAATGACGCTAATTACAACAACATTCGTTCTACCCACGCCTGAAAACTGCAATCTTAGCTGCAGAACAAACAAATTAGTCAAACACCACCGGAATTTGACCAGATACTTAAAACCTGATCAAAACGACCCAGCAGGGATAATGCGCCTAGTCCCTTCTGTGCATTTGATGAAACAAAAAAGTGGGAAAGTGCTCTGGAACAGCTTATGGTGGGACACCCGAAGGCTTTTTGTCTGGTACCATTTTTTAAGTGCAAACAAATAGACCAAATGTCCGAAAGAACTACAAACAAGCAAAGGATGTTCTTGTTAATGGTAGGTCTACTGACGAGCCACTCTTGGCTAAAGAAGCAGCTAAACCCAATGTGAGTCAAAAAAAAAATCCTAGAGCAAGTTCTGTCACGAGCAAGAAACAATGACTCGGAAGTTTTCTCAGAGGCTACCAGTGGAACTCTGGAGTCTCATCGAAAGGACCAACCTAACTAAAGCTCTGTAATCATGGAAGATGTCACCATAGATGCGTTACGGTGACGCGAGGCTAAGGGCTAACTCTTCCACTGCATAATTAAACAAATCGCCAATCCTCCAAATTCATTCCTTCAAATATAAAGATGCACTTCCGAATCTTAATTGTCTTCCACTGCAATCCGTAACCGGTAAACAGAAACAAAAATATAAAAAGTGCGGGGTGTGACGGTTAAAGGACATATAAAAAGATCTCCATGGTCGTTTTAAGTATTTGGCAAATAGTACTTCCCCTTCTACTAAAATTGAAACCGATGAGTTTGTTAATAGAATTTTTACTTTTCACGTTATGCTCAGTATCGATTCGTATTTAAATAACTTCATTTCCGTATAGATTTAATATTCACAACAGGAATAATTCAACGTTTATTTTAAGTACACATACGTCGTCATATTAGCGTCAACTATGTCCAAGCTTCCAATTACCTGGCACGTTTTATACTCTCGCTACTGAATAATTTACCTAACGACACTTTGTTGCCTTTAACGGTTTCTAAATACGTTATCATACGCTCCGATAAACAGATCGATAATGAGTTTTCATTCGCGTGACAGACACGTCTCTTCGGACTAAGGTTTAATGGAGGGTTATGAATATGCGCCAAAGGTATTCTTTTGATGTCTGTCTCTAGTTGCCAAAGGACATTAACATCGTCAATATAAAGTTGGAAATAAATATTCAAATTGTTTTTGTCTACCGCCAGTTGAAAGCTTTAGTGATACCACATACTATTGTTTTAAAAACGGCCTAAAAATAAATGTTTCTAAATTTACTATGTTTTTTGAGCCAGATCGGGTAAGGGCTAGGGAATATGTTCAGTATACATTATACCATAATTAACAATAAACAAATCTTAATACCTACGGAGATAGAGATTCGAACTACAGAATAACATAAAATGTAAGTGCATTTCAAAAATTATTTAAAACACTTATAGAATCATTGTAAAATAGTGTTTCATGACTTTTTGTTTCTGCCATTTCTGCCTAAGTTCGTTATTAATTGGTAATGAGAAATGATTAATATATATACATAACACCTTGGTTTGATATAATACTAGAGCAGTTGTGTATATAAGACTGGCTAAATCTTTTAAAATCTTGATTTCTCTGCTCTTCTGTAAATGAAAGCTATGAATTGATTATGATGATGATAACACCAGGAATAATGCAGAATGAAAATGCGTATTTTTCAAAATTTGTCTCATGACTTTTAGCAACTTCCAAAAAAACAGCTGAATGTTTAAAGATTTCTTGCTTGTTTGGTTGGTTCTTGATTATTTGCGACACTATTTTAAAATTTTAAAAAAATCTTCTGGCCGTATTGCCTTCATTGGATTTTCCAATATCTTTTTTTGTATATCAACAATTTTTCTTTGAGTTTTAATTTAATAATGAGATTTATTATTTGAGTAAATTTTGCAAGAATCTTAAAAATAAGACTACTAGGTTAATTTTGAGTTAGTAACCAAAACTTGGGTCTGCTTGGATAACTTAAATTTAGGTATATAATACCTGCGTAAATGATAGGACCCCCTTTTTTGTAGCCTGGTACATAGCACGGTGAAATTTAACACGCACGTATAAAATTAATTGTCTAACTTTTGACATAAAAACAATATCTCAAAATGTCAAAATGATACCAGGGGCCCATTTTAAGTATTTTTTAAATATTAACAGAGGTCACGTGATACTTCTTTTTAAAGATCTTTGACATTTGGTTCGTCAGTTTTTGCAAGACAAGAAATTAAATAAATACATTTTTAATTACAATTTAATTTAAATACTAATAACAATAATAATAATTGTAAGGTTGCGTGTGAATAAGCATTAGAGAGGGCCAGGTCATATTATATTACTTTTCCTTGGCAATGTCAAAATATTTAATCGGTGCTTCAAGTCCAAGACCTATTAAGGAATACTTAAATAAAACTTTTCCTAACAGGTGGATAAGAAGACGAGGCCTCATTGAATGCCCAACTCGGTCGCCAGACCTAACACCTATGGACTTCGAAATATTTGCAGTGTAATTCCCCCAGAAACTTTGCATTATGTTGAGAATGACTTTATGCACATTGCATTCCGGAAATTTAGATAAATCTCCATTAGTACAAGCGATGTGGTTGAACTGTGCGATGGCATAAATAGACTTTATCAAACCGATATCACTCAATAAAGAAAAAATAAAATTGACCTCCTGGATGTTATTATTTTATGTAGAACTCAAGTTTGCTCTCCATACACAAAAAAATCTTCTCAGTTTGAAGAAAAAATGCTAGAAAAAATCACAGTTTGCATTAAAGATATGTTTGATTTCGTTTCAAGAATGAAAATTACAATAATTACAAATTCTCATTTTTTATGCTCCAATTGAGGAATAAAAAAATGACGCTTTCCGCACGCTAGATCTGTGTATAATTAGGTATTAGGATTTTTGTATCATTGGATATTTTAGAGAGGCGGGTAGAAGAAATGTATTTTTTATTCTGAACATAAATATATTTTTAAATTAAGAATACTGATTGATGTTGTAGAATATGTTTTCAAAAAATAATAATTTTCTTAAACCGAAACTTATTTATTAAGGCAAAGATGTTTTGTGTTTTATGTGCAAGAATACAATACATCTTTCGAGAAATGGTTTTTTTGAGCTTATGCCAGACTACCTTCTTGAATTTTATCATTAACAATGAAGAAAATGTGAGTAATAAATTTCAAAAAGCTGAAAACTTCGGTACGATTCGGGGAACGTTTCATGTTTTAAGTTTCGCATTTTATTTACTAAGTTCGCCATTATACGGTTCGCTTTTTACCTGCCTCGATTTATTTATTCTTTGAATTCTAACTCGATAGAAAAACTGTTATCCAACACTTGCCGCAAAACGCTGTCGCAGATTTACAATCGAACTTTTCCGCCAACTTAGATTTACAAGTTTTCTTGTTTTTATTAGCGAATGCTTATACATTTTTCGAACGGAATGAAATTGCGAAAAGTTTGAAAACTTCGCCCAAACTTCCCTCGATACCATTATCGTTAATTTCTGACAATGACACGCTATAATTACTGTGTCTAAACTGCGAAACATTACGGGAAGTTTTTGAAGTAGCGGGCACTTTGTTTCGGAAGTTGTTTATTTGCTTTAATTAAACTCTTTTACCTTAAGTGACTTTAAAAATATAAATGCGAGGCGCGTTCTTTTGGCGGCGGTAAAAGTTACATATCGACATTTCCAGTTTTTTCTTTGTGCTTATTTTCTCACTGACGAATTTACCGTTCTGCAACAAACGAGCCTTTGAAGGAATATGTTTAATTTTGAGAAATTTTCGGAAGCATATGTTGATAAATCCGATGTTAAACTCTTGTACACAGAAACAACTAAAGTAGAGACTGTAATGAAAGTATGCATTATTTATTATAAATTAAATATTTTCTTGGTCATCTTCTTTGCTTTGCCCTTTGCCTCGTTTGCTTCGTATATATTACTGATTTGGACAAACAGATCTTTAAATACTTCCATTCTATTAAGTACCGATTATAAGGACCTCTAACTTTTGTAACCTGCAATCAATAAAGCACACGATCTTGTCTGAACTATTTGGTTTTTTCTTACTCTTATTTGTTATTAATTTAAATCATTATAAATCATTCTTTTTATGTTTTCTTGATACTCATTATTACTTTTTCGCTGATGTCCATGCCTCTATGAAACAATAATTACTATGATACAAATATTTATGAACGAATGAAAATTATTTTAGAAATCCAAATTTGAACAAAAAAAAACAAATGAACTCGAGGGCCAAATCACCATCCAAAATTAGCACAGTACTGTACAAACTTTCACAGATTATGGGGAAAATTGTTATATTCCGCTGTAATTATAAAAACTATTAAGTCATAATCATATATACAAAAATATGTCATTTTAAAACATCTTTTTAAAAAGTGTTAAATTAATAAATATTTTAATTTTAATGATTAAATAGACAAAATAAATAAATCATTACATTTTCAAAACGGGCGTAAAAATTTTATTTTATTTACTTCAATATTCTGTCTCTTAATTTAATTTCTTTCTCTTTAGATTCGTTTACTAAGAAGCATAGAAAATGTGGAATAAGTAGAAAAAAATTTAGAAGCACATTGTGTGTGTTTGCTGTTAAACGCAGTTTTATCGGATCTTTACAACTTTTTTTAAAAAAAAAGGCCATATTTAAGACGTGACATTTAGTAAATTATTTCGATAATTATAAATATATATTGATGAAAAAATTACAAATAAATTCAGAAATAATTTTGAATTATTAGTTTTTTGAATCGTTAGTTCATCACAATTTGTTATGGTATTGGTTGTCTTTAACCTCGAAATATTTATTTAATAATTACGTATTGCCATCTTTTAATTATAATTTGTTTATTATTTGGTGATGCTTTAATTAATGGAATGGATCAAAACTCCAACAAACTTTGAGAAAGGCGTTATAATTTTAGAGGTATATTACGGATTGCATGGAACTGGTACACCAGCTTTCTCGACTGATTTACACCTCGAATGAACCAAAGTTTAATTGTGGATAATTTTCAGATACACAAGGTGTTTTTTTTTACATTTTTTAAATATTTTTCAACATTCTTAACACATTGAGACGCAGGTCACGCAGGGTATTCAGGTTTCAGTATTCCTTACAATTCAATAGAGCTGCGCAGATTGATATACAGAGTGGAGTAGTAACAGACTGCGTTTAAATAAACCTGTGCAAGTTTGCTATGCTACGCGCACAGTAGTTTTGTTATTTCTTCTCTGAAGTCACAAGAGACATAACTTTATTACATAAACTGCTTATAAACAACTAGATTATATGCTTTTATTGCAGAATCATTGCCAACGAGTACAGCGGAGCATTCGAGCGCCACAACCCAGCACAGTTCGCTAATGCAAGCCGCTCAACAACCGCAACGTTCTTATTGGTCGCCTTTACCGTTGGAGCAAAGAGAACTGGACACCTTACACACGGCTACGATACCACCTTATCAGTTTTGGCATTCGGAATTCCGTAATAAGCAACCCGCTTTTATCCGGTTTAATTTCACTTTGCCCTGGGGCGCAAACTTCGCCGTATACGGAAGAAGAAACGTCGCTCCAAGCGTCACACAGTACGATTTCGCGGAATTTGTTAAGGGCGGCAGGGTCGATCATAGGCTGAAGAAAAGAGCCGCCGCGGATAACGGTAAGCAAAATGTGATTTTCGTTGATCGTTGCGGAAAACTGTCACTTGGTGGTTAGAACCGTTGTTTTAAATACACACGGGGTGTCTACTTGAGCTCTGTTTAGAATGTGATTACAAATTTAACAAAAATGTTCTTTTGCGAGATGAGAAGGTTAACTGACTTAAATGACATTGAGATTAAGTAAGTTTGGTTTGGAAAGCTTACTTTTTTGAGACAAAAGTTATTCATCTGCAAGCTGTATTTATCCAAAATGTTTGTCGAAATTAATTTTTAACTATGAAATGGTTGAAGCTAGATATATGCATCGCAAGTGCTATAAATTTAGAATATTTTTGCAAGATACAAAAACGGAATAATCTACAGGGTTTCGGTGCGTTATGACTTTATAGTAAAACTTGAAATAATTTCAGGTCCCTAGATACGTTTAACAGGCTATAAAGTTGGGTAATTCTCCTTATAGTTATGGAGATTCAAATTTAAAAAAATATTTATTTAATTTATCCAATTTTTAATTAAGGAGGTACATTGGTATTATTGGTATTGGTATTGATATTAAAGGGGGGCGCCCTCGCGGGCCTCCAAGCACTTAGGCCACCAGATGGGCCCGTTGTGCCCCCAGGCCGCTCTAGAGGGCGTCCAGAATGCCGCCCCTCCTATAGAAAGTCAACAACTCCTTTAGCCCAATACCGTGCACTGAATCCGGATCGATCAGGGCCTTTCCGAAGACTCCCAATCTTGCCCATGTCAAAGCAGGGCACTCGGTGAGCAGATGATACGGGGTCTCCTCCCCTTCCATGCACCACCTACACTCCGGGTCGTCTCCAATGCCTAGCAAGCAAAGATGCCTCCTAAGCCTGCAATGTCCTGTGTAGGCCCCTGTTAGTGCTCTACACTCCCTTCTGGTCAGTCTAAGCAGCTCCCTGGTCTGAGGAAGGGCGGGCCCATCCATCATAAGCCTCGCCTGCCTCATTCCCGCAGCAACTCTTCAGCCCCCCGCGGCCCAGTCTGTCGCCCAGGCTTCGAGAGCTCCCCGCCTCACACACGGGGCGATCCCCAAGCGGGGCTCTGGCCCTATATGCCTATGCGAGGAGCCCTCTCTGGCTAAGGCGTCCGCTGCCTCATTACCCGGGATACCGGTGTGACCCGGGACCCAGACCAACGTGACTTTTCTCTCCTCAGCCACCCTCCTCAGTACCCCTTTGCACTCCTTTATCAACAAGGAGCGCGTACGCACTGACTTCAGCGCCATGAGTGCAGCCCTACTGTCCGAGCAGAAGAAGACTCTCCCGCTTCCGTTGTTGCGCCGAAGCACCTCTCTGGCCGCCATCAATAAAGCGAAAATTTCCGCCTGAAACACAGTGCAGTACTGACCCAGAGGAACCGACAAGCTCGATCCCGTTGTCTCGCAGTACGCACCAGCTCCGGCCAGATCTCCCATCCGTCCGTGTACTAGACAAGTCCATCCCAGGAGCTGACTCTGCCCTCTCTCCAATCTTCCCTTGATGGAAAGAGAAAGGTCAATTTGTCAAAGAGGGTCATCTCGGGGATCATGACGTCACTCGGCATGCCCATGACCCCCCGATCCCCGCGACAACCATCTAAAATGTCGTACTTGTACTTGACACTTCCGCTTGCAGAAAGAGGCACCCCATCCATCGAAATGTTGAGGTTGCACTCCATCTTCCTTTTTCTAGTGAAGATAACCATCTCCACCTTGCCAGGATTGACAGCCAACTTGCTGTCCAGGCACCATTGTGGGAATCTTGCCAATGCCCCGTTCAGGAGCCCCTGCATTCTCCTCACGTCCGTCCCCTGTGTCATCACAAGGTCGTCTGCATATGCATAAGGAGTCTTCCCCTCCCTATGCTCCTCTGTCTCAGGGAAGCTATTCTCGAACGCCCGCATCATAGCGGAGCTGACTCGGTCGGCGGCCTCGTCATTCTCCTCCATTGTCCGGTGTTTCCTTGGTAAGCCCACTAGGCGCCAAGCGAGCTCCTCTCTATAGAGTTCCCAGTTTATTGCCCGGGGGTTCCTAAATCCAACGGGTTTCCGAACACCTATCTCCAACCCAAAGGTGATGTATCTATGGTCCGACATAGAGTCCTCCCCACAGACACACCACCCAGTTATTTCCGTTAGCAGAGCCCTGGTACAAAGTGTTAAGTCTATGACCGAGGTCCGACCCGTCGTGAAAAACGTGGGTTCTTCCCCTCTGTTGGCCACCTGCAGCCCTGCCGAGGCCATGAAATCCACGAGGTCTCCCCCCATTCTATTCGTTGCCGCGCTGCCCCACAAAACGTGGTGAGCATTGCTGTCGCAGCCAATTAAAAGAGGAAGATTCGCTTCCCCACAGTAGGAGACCAAGTCACTGATCTCCTGCGGAGGACAGCTGCGGTCGCCTGGAAAGTACGCAGAGGTGACTACTACCTCCCTCACGCCGTCCCGAGTGAGGGATCTGACCAGAATTGGAACCAGGTCCCGGGACGCCTTGTCCCTTAGGAAAAAGGCCTCCAGCCCCATGGTTAATATACAGGCCCTGGGATCGCCCTCTAAGGAGTCGACACTATACAGCATCGATCCTCCCAGAGATAAGCCCCTAGCCCTTGATTTTATAATCCAGGGCTCTTGGATCAGTACAATGGATGTATCGCCCTCCGAAATTTTCCTGCATAAGTGGGCCGTTGGAGCCCTGCTGTGTGGCAGGTTAATCTGTAATATCCCTGTGAAGATGTTATTACGGGAATACCACCTGCGGGTCACGATGCTAGCCTCAGCCCGAATCCGAGCCCGAGGTAGCACCTCCCTCCGCTACCGCTTCCTGACTGGTGGACCCTGATGGGATTCCCCGGTCAACTTCCATCCGAGATACCTCCTCGGTTCTCGCTTCCTCGGAGGGCCCTCCGGAGATCTCCTCCACAGAAGCCGTGGGCGCCGCCTCTCCGACAGGCCCCCCAACCTCCATGGACGAGCTCTCTTCGTGTGAGCCCCCCGCGGCCACCTCATCCCCCTGCGGCCTCGGCGCCGCCAGGTTCACTTTTACCTGAGTCGCCAGGCAGAAGAGAAGTGAGCCCTTAGCCGTGATGGTGCTTGCCGATTTCTCGTCCACGCCCACCACCAACCTTGGGCCCCTTGCATCCTCCGTCCTCTGCCAGACCCTCCAGGCACGGCATTCTAGGCCATTCTGAGCTGCCAGGCAGCGGACTAGTGCCTCGTTCGAGACACCCGCCCCCAGGCCCGGAATCCAGATCGCCGCTCTTCTCAGTCTCAATCCTTTCGGATCGACCTCCACCAGGTTTGCGAGCCCCCAAGGCCTGACGTTGATCAGCTCCCTGCGAACCCACTCCCTGGTTTCTTCATTCATCATCTCGATCAGGATTTAGCTCCTCCACAGCCTAACCGAGCGTATCCGGGGAGGGGTGTATTGCCCCCCTGCATGATATACATGCTTTTGCGGAGGTTAAGAGACCCTATGAACCGCAGTAGGTCCTCGGAAGACAGGTCAGTTTCCTGTCTTCTGAGGCCCACCACCAGTTCAGGCCCCCCCGCCGCCGCTTGTGCATAGGACCGAGCCCCCCTCTCAGAGCCCCCCCGAGGCGCCTTTCCCGGGCCCAGCTTTCACCGGGCCGCGTGTCGGCCGCCGATCTCCGGCAGGTGCCCCAACCTGGGTGGTCTCTCCCATTTTTCTTTTCCGCTTCCCGCCTGGGGCCCCTCCTCCTTCTCCTTTACACATTTCATTTCTGATTCCATAAAGGTCCCACGAGTAGCTAGGGAAACAAACGGTCCACCTCTGCAAAGCCCCGCATGTAGAGGTATGGCTTCCTTCCCCGAGGTGCGCGCGGTGCCTCGGGGTTGGGATCGGTAGAGACTGATCTTCTGTCCAGCCATGCATCCCCTAGGCCCGACCCCCCACCGTAGGATTTAGGATTTTTATTGAGGTTTACTCCTCTTGGTCCAAGTGGTGAAGCTCAGACCCCCCGCGTCGCGTGCCCACTCGTCGAGCCGGCACCCGACGCCTGGTTTATCAACCGACTACAACCCAGTTTGCACCGTTATACCCTGTGCAGGCCCTTAGCCACGACACGACAGTTGGGCAGGGTGAGCTGGTCCACGACTGGTTATTTGTCAGCCCTATTGGATTTTTACTTCCTCATGCCTCCTTATTCCCAGCCACCCAGGCCCGTGAGAGCCTGGGCTCCCCTATCCGCCACCCGGGGGACGCGCCTCATGGATTGCTCAACCACAAAGGTCAAGGAGGTACAACTGTTCACTTAGGTTACATGATTCTTGTTTTTAATAGATGTGTTTGATTTTTTTAAAGTATTGTATAAAAGGTAATTATTTTAGGTCTTCAGATAAGGCCACCATAATGCAACTTAATGAAATAAAAATTTGCTCAATTTCTGCTAGAATTTAATCTGGAATGGGAAATAAGAATAGAATATACTCTGCTGGCTATAATTATTTATTTTATTTATTATTTTGAAGTACGTAAAATGTATGGTCATTCTCTAATCCAATGTGTTTGTTTTTCTCTAGACCGTTCGGTTTATGTATAAGTGACTTCAACATAATTGATCATATATCACAAAATCCAATACCGGCAACTAAAGTTATTTGATACATATAAGGAGTTCTAGTAATTGTAGAACTTACAACGAAATTTTTGTAAAATCGATATTAAAATAAGCAAATAAAAATAAAAATTGGGAACCGTCCTGGGACTGAAAGTCACGCCGACAAATCGCTAACGATTTTTTTACACCGATTGTAACGAACCGACCTAGTAAATGTCACTAGCAACAAATTTCATTAGTTTCGTCCCTGGTGATCGCTAAAGACGTTATTCCGTGTAAACTCAGTTAACGATGTAATTCCGTGTTAAGTTTTACCGATATAATACGGAAAAGTGACGAATGCGAGAGTGATTTTTTTTCCCATTTTTTTTTTAATTCAAATAAATCTATAACCGATATGTGATAGACGATATGAAGCGGCGGCG